ACACGGGAATAAGGTGAAACCAAATGCAGACGCCAGTCTAAATCCTTTCGTTGTGAAGGATTTAGGGATAACCAGTCACCAGGGTAAATGTTCCTCCTTCAATTCACGTCCCGTTTTGCCTGTGCCTTCATCTACTACACTTCGATAGTCAAACTTCCTTCTACGCATGTACAGCTCATGATTGCCGGTGAGCAACGCCAAAATGTGCTTATTAATCTTGGATTTCTCCACCGAGATGTAGAATTCCTTTGCAGTCTTTTCTGCTGGTTGGATTATAAACGCCTTACCGTGAAAAGAGTTTCGAATTTCCGGACATGGGAACCCAACTTTGGGGTTTAACAGATTATCAGGCTCATAGATACTCAAACCCAGAGCATCAGCACCAAGAACAAGCGACATACACCCCCAGATCCTTACGATTTGTAGGTATTGAAACAATGTTCATCGGCTTGTTCGTACTGTTCTTTATCAGAACTCAGCTGATTAATTTGCAGTTTAGCAATACAAACGTAGGGATGTCAGTAATACAGCGGTGTCTGTTGGGCAATAAAATTCTCCGGACACTATGTCGCTCTTAACAAACGACCAATGAAGAAGAAGCCGCAGAGAGAGCCTGCCTCGGCTAAAAGTCGTTAATAAGAAAAAGTCGATTTCGCTTTCCTCTGCCGCCAGTGTAGCGTCCCAAGACCTCCTGATCGGTAATAAGAAGGCAGTAAGTGCAGTTGGATGTATGTTTTGTGAAGACGACAGGACAAAATGGTATGAACATGGCCCGAAGGCCAGCCCACGTGTACAAGGGCCAGACAAACCCTAAAGTGACCGCCTAACTTCATGTGGTCACATAAACAAAGTATTACGCATAAATAGTTGTTGTGCATAGTTGATACACACTATATCTTTTACAGAAAGAAAAATAAGTTCGCTTTTTGGTTACCTGCTGTAATGCCTTGGTAATTCGTTTGCCTAGTCTAGGTTACCAAAGTTTCTCGCCTACTTAAAAAAGCAGTAGGCGGGGTCTACCCTTTGTACTCTAAGAGAAGGGCATAACGTGGCTATGGCATGGCCTAATAAAAGCCCACCCAATGGAGCGCAAGATGGACACCGAAGTGAGAAATATCGAGGCGGATAATCAAAGAGGAAAAACCACTACCCTCGTCTTTTCTCATCTTGAGCGTTCCCTTTAACACCCACAAGCCAGATACGTTAGTCAGTAGCCGCTATGCGATCAAAGGAATACACTTTACACTGGAGCTGGAATTTAAAGGCTTTACGGTGGTGTCACTTCAGTTGTAAATGACTTTCTATGGAACATGGGAATGCGAAGTTGTTAAACGCAGATGCATTTTAGAACTCTTCTGCTCTGAAGATGTGGAAGGCTCTACCGGCAGAAGTTTGCCACAGATGGTAGATTTTAGAATTGAAGTCATTACCTGGCTAGGTTTGCCATCCTTAGACATGGGTGAACGGTTTCAAAGCTTTAAATTAGGCAATAGAAGACAGAAGGTTACCTTACGCACACAGGACCAAAATCCATACTAAAGTGGTGACAAGTCATACAGGTGTATTATTGCTTCTCTTTTCTTTTGAGCGACGACTATAAAGCTTCTTTTGATAGCCTATCGCAACATTTACCATAATGTATTGTGAACAAGACAACAATAAACACTCATTGGCCAGACTAGCTTGTCGTCCCGCTTGGAGAACGAGGGTATTCTTCAGTGGAGCAACGCCGGCTTAACCATACTCATATCCCGTTTCGTTCTGTAATGGATGCTACACACCCCTCCTTAAACGATTCTCTTATAAAATCAGAGATTCAGAGCCTAAGCGTAGGTTGAGGATGTAGTGCATGTTTTATGTGTCTACCTGACGTTCGGCGGTCACTTCAAGATTTGTCAGGCCCTTGTACTCGTGGGTGGCCTTCGGGCCAAACCCAGACCCATTTGCCCTGATTTATTCGGAAAATGTATTTTAGCCTCACTACCTTCCTCTACCCAAATGGGAAGTTTTGGGACGCTACAGAAGATCCTCCATTTACGAATTGAGGGAAGGTACTTCACTCTCAGCAGATTCCTCTGGGTCTGAATTTATATTCAGTCAAAAGAACGAGTATAGAGGACATATGTCTGACAGTCACTTATTGTGTTTGCAGCGTCTCGAGACTTTCAACTGGGTGGAAGAAGGCAGTAGTTGAAGCTAGATACATGTATTCCAAAGGGAACAAAGCGACTAAGCCTGAGCATGGCCCGCAGGCCAGCCCGCACGTACAAGGGCCAGACAAATCCTAAAGTGACCGCCACACACCAGGTGGTCACACATACAAAGTATTGCAGCGAGTAGCACCAGAATCTTGAAAATTTGTTAAAAGTGAGTATGTATCAGGGAAAGCGGATTCAAGCACGGCTCCATAAAGAGGAGCCTTCGAAGCATTCTGATCTCCAATCTGTACGGATATGTGACTAGGGAGACTTTAGAGACGAAACCTTTTTATTTTATTTGTGGCAAGGTTGCTTTTGCTGTTATTGGTACGCCTGTGAGATGTCAAATTTGTGAAGATGATTGTAAGCAACGATTAGAGGAATGGCAGCACTAATCATTGGACAGTTTGTTGAAGTGTATGCTGGTGCAGTGTGCATTCGTTGCTCTAACTAGCATGTAATGAAACTACGGCTCAAATTTGGAGCACATTTTAAAGTGGCCGAGGTGGACGAGGAGGCATTGCTGAGTTCTCTGCTAGAAAGAGCTGCCTCATTGTTTAACCTTACAACGTAATTTTACTTTGTGATATAGTGATTGTAACACGACTCCATATTTTTCTTCGCTGTTGTGCTTTGTTGGTTAGTTCATCTGTATTTTCTGGCCGTTTCTACCACATTGTAAATGTGTTTCCTGTTAACCTTTTCGTATTCGTTAATCTTCCACGTTCTTCACAGTAGCAATGTTCTCCTGAGCCTTAATGCAACTGATTTCTATGCTTCGTCTGATGGTCGATTGAAACTGAAAGATATCGGAATAGTTCCTGGTGACATAGTCTATGTTCAGTCTCTCGTTCAGTCGGACGATATAAGAAAGGCCCGTTCTTGTGAGGTACTTGGTATTTCTCATCTTGACTCACTGATAGGCTTTTGAAAAATTGTCAAATTCTATCAAGGCGTTACAGTATCCATTCGAGGATTTGGGTGTGAGAATCGGGATGGGTCCCCTGGATGTCAGTGCAAAGAAGAAGGGCTTGGTGGTAGCATTTGTGGAGTTAAGTTTGCATCTGCATAGAGCCCATGTGTGGTAGAATCAACGTCCAGTTTAGTTCGCATGACATATACATATCGTCGGGACAATGTCGAGATTCGTCCCTCAATCACATTTACCATTTTCTCGTGTGGAAACTTTATGTGCTTTGCAGGTAAGTCGCGTCTCTATTAGCTTTCCTCTAGCTAGTGTTGCTAACTATGCGATCCAGAAACAAATGGCCATCAAATATGACAATTTTTTCGTTGATCCCGAAAAGATCGATGCGGGTCTGTTGAGCTTTATGCTGATTCTATCTATTTTTCATAGATTCCCGGGGAAACCTTTCTGTCATATACAAAAATCCACAAGATCTTATTATTAAACTTTCGGATGAGCTGATTGAACCCATACTAGTCGATATTCATGAAGGCATGGTTGTGCTTTAGATCGTCATTCTCACTTTAGAGTTTGTTTTGCCACCCCGTATTGGGTTAATGAGTCTACCTGAGGCAATTTTGGTAAGTAATCTGTTTTCGAATAAGCGCTGCACTTCAATTTTTTGGCCACAGCAGAGTTGGCTGTGTTGAATACCTCATTATGTTTGGTGTCCTCCGTAGTCTCTGGCTTTCTGATAATGAGAGCTTAACTGCGGTTTTGGTTTTGTTATTTATTATATTTAATAGGTCAACATTTTTGATCGGCTCCCCTTGACCGACTTAGCTTATGTTACATTGTCCTCACGCAAAGTGAATGCCTTCATTAATTCCTGTGAAGCACTTTGGCGCCGCAAGTTGGTCTCCATTTTCGGATGTTCTAATGCTGATGGTAGGTTGGTAAACCAGGTTTATTTAGCCCACATAATAAAAATATTTCCAAATTATTTAGCCTTTTCTTTCAGTTATAAACTCTGCGTGCTCGCCAGACGGTTCATCGGTCCTGCTTGGCAAATGTCCATCACTTTTGGTAGGTGAATGTCTTTCATTTCTTGAGGTTATTTAGCCGTTCCTAGGCATTTCGTAATTTACACCGGGTTAGAAAATCTTCCCTAAGGGCTCGTTTCTAAATTAATCATAACTTTCCACATAAGGGACGTTAATTAGTATGGTTGTCATTACTTACATTTCCAGGTTGTAAAATACATTCTTTAATGAATAAATTCGAGGGCTGAATCAACGCGAAAAGCTTTTTTCTTGTTGGTCGGGTGCATATTTTGCTAGCTTTTGTATTTTTTTTGTTTGTCTTTAAGCAGAAAAAACCATGAGACCACGCTCCTTCCTTTTTAAGCGACCTCTAATTTTGGGCAGTTGAAACCATTAATTGAAGTTGTAGTGCTGTAGTGTGTACTACTCCATGAGGAGACTTGCTATGGGGATTAGGAATGGTCGGTGACTTGTGGATTGAGCTGTTAATTTAACGGTTCAAATGTCATCCCGAAACTGTATTGCATACCAGGACATTGCCCAGGTATCCATGCTTAATTTACACTTTCACACATTGACATTGCACCAAAACTGTGTTGATGTGAATGTCTGACTCTGCGAGTCCTTCAATCTTTGGGAGTTGCAATTTCTCCGTTCCCTTCTGCGCTGGCGATAAACTACTTTTTCCACTTTGGTGTACTTTGCAAGGACATTTGGAAATTCCCTTAGCCATGGGTAAAATGGATAGCTTTGGACTTATTTGCGTCTGCTTTGGTGGTAGATCTAAGGCAGACCTGCATTAGCGTGCCCAGAATGCTAAATGCGATCTGTGATGATCGTTTACAGAGATTGCTAATGTGAATGCAAAAATTGTCGCAATGCCATCCTGTCTGCGTAATGAGGGGGTCA